TTCTTCAAGCTCGGACACTATTTTTATGAGCTTCAACATGACGCATTCATTTCTTGCACCCCATTTAGTTCTATTTGTCTCAAAATGGTGGCCTAAGGACCAGGTAACATGTGTGTGTTTTTTCCTTTCCTAGATAATAATCACACAATTCTCTCTGGACCCACCCCCCCCCCCCCCCCAATTTTTGATCTTGTGTAAGTGAAACCATCTCTAAACTTGCTTAAGTTATCAAGAGAACTAAACAAAGTTCAATTACTGGATATTAAATTAGCTTAATGATTGATGAACATCGTCAATTTAATGTACTCAAAATAACAAATGAATAATATCTGGTTATGCACTAAGTATTTGTTTTAATGATAGGGTAATTACCCGTTATGATCATAGCCAACAATTTGGTACTCAATCACCGGGGGCGGGGGATATGTAACACATTTCTTGCCAGGGGCGGAGCCAGAATTTTACAATAAAGGGGGCTTACATCATAATAAGATTAACCAATATTTTATAACCGGATAACGTAATATCGTCTATAACTTACAGGAAAATTTGATATAAAAGATAATACATAATTTTAATATCTAAAAAAAATTAATATATACATACCGACCGTGTCCAATTCAAAAATTTTAATGATAAAAAACAATAGAAAAATTAAAAATAAACCTAAAAGTAATAATTAACTATTTTACTAATAATAAAAATTGAAACTAACAAAAAAGTTATAAAAATTTATCATCCTAACAAAGTCAATAAAATAAATAAATCACAACCTATCATCCGATAAATATTACTCACATAACAAGAAAACACAAAAATATATAGATTATTAAATAAACGGTTTATAAAATATGATTTTATAAGACTTAATATCATCAACTTCTTATTATTTATTATTTATTATCAATGTTAACAAAATAGTAAAAATTGTATAAGAAATGTTAGCTGTGAAAAAGCAATTAGTTCAACAGTAAAAATCCTTTATTTTTAGGTAAATCTAGTCTATGTTGATAAAAGATATGAAACATTAAACCCTTGTTATTATGAAAATCAAAATAATATTTATGAATTTAGTCAAGGTGAGTAATGTATATAAATTGGAAATTTTGAAGGGAGTAATGTATATAAATTAGAAATGTTGAGGGGGGCAAAGCACCTGCTTGCCCCTGTACTCCCTCCGCCATTGTTTCTGTCGATGGTAGTGGAGAGAGAGAGAGAGAGAGAGAGAGAGAGAGAGAGAGAGAGAGAGGCCTTTGTATATTTAATAATCATAAATATTTAAGAAAAAAAATGTAATAAGGGTATAATAGTCTTTTCAGTTTTCTTAAAGACTAAAAAGACAATTAAACTAGGTCAAAAAGATCATGAAGCCAAATGAATCCAGGTTAGGATTAAACCTCAGAAAAAATGCATACCATATGGACCATTGTTGTAGTTTTTCTCTCTCTCTCTCTCTCTCTCTCTCTCTCTCTCTATATATATATATATATATATATATATATATATATATATATATATATAAATTAATTGGTTGACATTGAGTTACACATTTATACATTATTTGTGCAATTACATATGATCTTATACGTGTGTATGTGTGTCTATATATATATATATATATATATATATATATATATATATATATATATATATATATATATAAAAGATCATATGTAATTGCACAAATAATATATAAATGTGTAATAACAGTAACTCAATATACAATTTAGGTAATTAAATTATTATTGAAGGCTATAAATTAGTAAAATATCTCTCTCTCTTTATATATATATATATATATATATATATATATATATATATATATATATATATATATATATATATATATATATATATATATATATATATACTCGGCTCATTCCACCGTCTTCTTCAGTTCATCAAGCCTTAATTAGTTCATTAATAAAAAATCAAGGTCATTCTTACTTTAAATCCCATGTATGCACCTTATTCAATAAATGTCCTTGTAGTTTCAGTTCTCAGTCTTCTTTTGTTTTCTTTTCTGTGTATGGATTCATTTATGCCTCAATCCAAATGGCAATGTTTTTGTTATTAGATTCTTTTGTTTAAGGTGCTAATTTACCGCATCATCACATCGTCATCCACAATACCTGTCATCGCCATCATCAAGAATCATCTTGGATTATTCGTAGGATCAATCGATTAATCTTCTCCATATTAACACCTGAACACCTAATCAAGCCACCTTCACCATCACCATGTCTATCATCTGTGCCACCACCATTAACATATTCTTACCCATCACATACATAATCTTCCGCTGATGTTATCATCGATCATTGATCAAACCTGATTAACCCTACACTACCATCTCTATACCACCACCTTTTACATACCTACTTATCGAAGATAATCTTGCACAATAACACCGCTGACCAACACATGCAATTTATATTTAAAAAGGGATGTGGGTTTTATGTGATTTTGAGAAAAAGATAAAGGCATGAACAGAGTCTTCGTGTATGTGGTTCTCAATTTGATTCAAAAGAGGTAAAATGTAAGAACATCACCATTCTTTATTTTCGGTGGCTAGAGAAGAATTGGTGTATTTATTCTTAGAAGAATCAAGTAAATTGATTTTAACATTATTAAAGAGTCAAATTGTTTTGATGTTATGTTTCAATTCTGTTTCGGTGCTTAATGTTTTTGTGTTCTTTATTGTAGACTAGGTAAGATAATTCTCTAAATTGAAGTCAATACTTTTTAATTCTCAATTCTTACTTTGGATGGTTAAGTTCGGTGCTTTCTTTAGCATTCATGATACCAATGGATGAATTTAGTTAGGACAAATCGGTCATTTTGATTCAAATTGCGTTCCATTAGTGCTCAAAAAAGAGTGACATTGATATATTAACTCAACCTCTGTTCTTTTTTTTTAATTTTTTTTTATATAACCTCTATGTTATAATTTCCAGGAAAAACATTATGTATGAGTTCGATTAAGAAGTGAAAGAGAAAAAGTAGATAAACTATGTTCCTATATATTGTTTAAAAAATATGAGGTTATGTAATTGAGATTAATATGGAGAACCTTGGGTTTGATTGAAGAAAATTGATGGCTAGATCTTCTTGTTCCTTCTAACGAAGACACAGACATAATAAACACGATTCTTTTCATCGATTTTGGAAGAAAACTACTATATGAGGATTCTTTCAATCATATATATGTTTGTTCAATTATGACATAATATTCTTCAAGATTGTTGATTGATATTCTTTAAGAATATAATTTCTTCCATTCTCACAAAATATTATGAGAATGTTTGTTATTTTTTAGAGTGTCATCACATATCTTTCTATAATTTTCATATTCTCAAGCAATAATACGTGATATGTGAAATTATATCTCAATCTCACCCATTCTCTCCTATTCTCACGTAATCTTTCATATAGGTCACTAGTATTATGGTTGTAGTTATTTAAGAATGATTTTGAGTCTTAAAAAAATGATATTTTTATTTCCAGTAAATTCCATATTCTTAGAAAAATGAAATCGGAAAAAGAGTCATAAACTAAAGAATCACTACAAGAAAAATCCTAAATGGCTACGGAAACTTGCTACGGAATTGAAATCCATAGCTATTTTATTACAGAATGTGCTACAAAATGGTTTTTCGTAGCTATTTTGCTACGAAAATAGCTACAAAGTTACATTCCGTAGCTAAACTAGGAATAACTACAAAAAGTTACTACATAATCAAAATTTGTAGATATTATACTACGATATATGTTACAAAATGGCTAGCCGTAGCTATTTTTCTACGGAAATAGCTACGGAGTTGCATTTCCGTAGCTAAATCTTGAATTGTTGCTACAAAATCAAAATTTGTAGTTATTTTACTATGAAATATACTACATGGTTGTTGGTTGTAGCTAGTTTGCTACGGAACATGTTACGTAATCAATTTTCGTAGTTGGTTGGCTACAAAATCGGTTATGGAATAAAAATATGTAGCTAGTTGGCTACATAATAGAAATTTGTAGCTACTTATTGACGAAAATTTGATACACAGTAAAAATCTATAGCTAATCTACAAAGAAACTTGTAACTAAAAGGTTAACCGTTGTTATTTCTTTATCTAAGTTGTTTTTGAATTTGCAAAATAGCTACAAAATCTAAATCGTATCTATGTGGCTACGGAATATTTTGTAGTCATTTAGTTATGGAATATAATTCCGTAGTAGAATACAAAAAAATATTTTACCAAAAAAAAATAAATTACTATTTTAAATTGTTTTATGATTTTTAATTATGATTAATAATTTTTTTTACATGATAAGTTTTTTTTATTTATTCTTATTATCATTATTTTATTATATATTTTAAAGATATATTAACATTAACATATATAATTAAATCACAACAATCTTATGAACAGTAACTTACGTGGGTATTGTTTTCCCCACCGCTTCTCATCGACTCTCTGATTCTTTTGTCGTTCCTTTCCCTTCACAGCTTCCTCATACATCGCCTACATTTATCTGTCTCTCGATCCTTCCGTCTTCCACTACTTATCTGCCATCTGCATTCCCTAGGGTTCGTTTGTTGGCGTAGCGTTATTCGAGCGTCCCCGAATTGGAGCTAGAAACACGGTACTTTTCCATAATCTTTTCAATTTCCATCTACAAATTGACAAGGGTTTTGATCTTTGGTTGTAATTTTGGGACCTAAGTTTTTGTTACCGGTACCATCCACTTCATAGAATTCAACGTATGCTTAATTTCTTCTAAGTAAACTTTCAAATTCATATTTATTGTGAAGTGAAATTGAATCTGTTCGAAGCCCAGTCACTTAACATTCTTAGATTTACTTTTGTTCTTCTTTCTATCTTGTGGCTCAATTTCATTTACTCGATAATGTTTGATTTTGATTTTACCGATGTGTTGTTCCTGTTTCTCACTTTATCTCCATCGCCTTTCAAACCATCGAAATCGATGCATCTTGAAGATGAAAATTAATGTCATGTTGTGAACATCGACCCAGCGGCACCTCTTCATCTTCGATTCCTATCTCCCCACTGCTCCTTTCTAATCAATTGGTGGTGGAGGGAAGAACGACGAGGTAATGTTTCTTCCTCTTTCACGTTTCTTTACTTTCTGAAAACAGTTACAATATTACAACTTGCTAATGGTCGCATACGGCTTTGTTTTGTTTTCTCTATGTGACGGGAAGAGAGCTGAAACCGATGATACAGTCTCTAATACTCCTGCTACACTTGAAACGTTTGCTGAAAGGTATTAGTACAGTTTCTTTTTTTGCTTATATATGTTAACCCATAAATAGAGCTCCATCTCTCTTCTGAAAGTCAATGCTCTACACCCTCTGTAACATCACATGTTCATGGAATTATATATTGTTTATGTGTTTACAGAATTGCATGCACCCTGTGGAACATCACATGTTCATGGAATTATATATTGATTATGTGTTACAGAATTGCACACTACATGTTTGATGTTATGCTTGAGTGGAACTTATCTTCATGAATTTTTTTTTGAAGATGGTTCATGTTTTATAGTTCAGCCAGCTTATCATTTTGAATTTTGGTTGGTAATAAAATTATGTTTTTCACTTGCAATGTTTATGTTTTATAGGAATTTACTTTATGTGGTTTCTAGATAGTGATTTTTCTTTGTTTCGGTAGCTTTATTGCTCAATATTTGAGGAATAAATTATGTATCTTGTTTAAACTTTTATGTTTTTTTTTTCTTCAGATACTAAGTTTGTTCATCCAAAATCTACAAAAGGGTATAACCGGATGGTTGGTGATGTTGGATATGGTCGCAACTACTATTTTTGGCCTTAATCATGGTAATCTTATACTACTAAAAGATAAAAGTTAGGTCACTCAATCCATTTAAATCATCAAAAATTGAAGGCAACTTGATTACAGGAAAGCCACACTTCTTGAAGGAGGTAAATACTCACAAATCCTTGTAGTTTTTTAGTTGTTGACAAACATGTTATGAATGATAAGACCAGAACGCATCTTTCGTGAATTCAACAGGTATTTAACATACATCTTTCAATATTAAGTGCTTACTCTATTAAGCTCATGAAGTTAAAAATAGAAGAATCGTTGTTTTTGTTTAGGTATTCATGTGAACCTGCATCAACTGTTATCATCACATAAAATTTGAAGTTGGTACAAATATTGTTGTAATTGGTGCTCAAAGTTGCTGGTATTCTAGAGCATTTATGGTTATTTGTGTGTTTGTGATGGTTCCAGTATGAACGGTGTGACAATATTTGTAAAGAATATTTGTTTTGATGATTAGGGAACCATGTAAAAGGATTATCAATTATGTAATATATCTATAAAAATCTATGTAACTACTAAAATTAAATTTATTGCATTTTATATATTTCAACGAATATTATAAATGGAAATTGGATTTTTTTTTTTGAATATTTTTATCATTATGAATTTGTTTTGGAATCTATTTCTTCTATCGAACAAATGGCTACGGGATTTGCTACGGAACAAATGGCTACGTAATTTATTACGGAACAAATGGCTACGAAAATTTCTACGGAACAAATGGTTACGGAATTTGCTACAAAACAAATGGCTACGGAATTTGTTACGGAATAAATGGCTACGGAATTTGCTACGCACCCCGTTGTTACGAAATTGTTATAGAAATATGTTGTAGTTAAATTGCTACGGAGTAAACGTCGTAGCAAAACTGCTACGAAACTATAATTCCGTAGCTAAATAGTTTGCTACAAGAAATATAACTACGGAATCTCATTGACGAATTCCGTAGTAACTTTTGTAGTTATTCAGGTTTAGCTACGGAATTTTAGCTTTCAGCTACAGAATTTTTTCGTAGCTAAATCGAAATTTTCTTGTAGTGAATGAAATCAGATTGTAGTTATATAAGGAATCAAAATCGAAATTGATTTCAAATTTGAAAGTGATTCAAACTTCATAAAAATATCAAACGTGAATCCAAGAAAATGACCTTTTCCATTATACAAAAAGTACATTTATTGGCTAAGATTAAGTTATACAATTATACAATATATTTGATTTACATTTGAACATAGCTATATATGTATACACACACACACAAACTATATTGTATGTTCAAGGTCACCCGAGGCTCTGACAGCTCGTTTCATATGATCTCTTTTGCTGATCTGCCGAACATAAACCTACATGATTGGATCCTCTTGAACAACACTTTGCTGAATGATCAAGAGCAGTACGAGCCTATCACCGATCACATCTAATGAATGTTATTGTGCTACATTCATGAAGTTGCCAAGGTCGATCAAGAGATCGCATCTGCCTGAAGAAAGAAGCCTACAATCAAACTAATTGGGAAGGCAAACGACGTCTACAAGATGCGGATGAGTAAGATTGATCCAAAGTATCACACAGTCAAGTTCACTAGAGCCGAAGGCCAAAAGTGCTTGTTTACTCTTGATGATAAACACCTGTTCTCCACTACTTGTCTAGATCACATTCTTGACATCATTCATAGGTGTAGTCAAAACAGTGAAGCTGATAAGAAGATTTTTTTAGATATGCTTCGGTGGTATATTGACTTCCATTAAACTCTTCTCGCCATCATACCAAAGCTATTCAAGACTGTGAAGAAATCCACTCTCACTCAACCGAAATGATCTCTCGCCTCAATTGACGCAAAAGGGGAGATTGTTGAGTCTAGAAGTTGCGTCATTGGGCTTGTTTACTTAGTCCAATATTGTCACGGTCTGGGCCTGTCCAGCCATGTTTATGTCATTAGGTTATAGTATTTATGGTGCATGCATGCATCGTTATTAATACGCTTCTCAATTATTATTTCTTTCACAGTATTGTAACCCTAGCACACCTCTACAATAGAAGTTCTTAGTCAAGCTCTTCAGAGGTGTTGTAGTTTTAATCATTCAACACTTGTTTGATTCATTGTGTGTTCATGCTTTTGTTCACTTTGTATTTTACTTGTTAAGAATATATACGATCTTAAAAGAGTTTTTAACTCATCAATTGGTATCAGAGTAGGAGACTGTGTAATCCATACGCATCTCTTCTGTTGAAGAAGGTTTTAGGGTTTCCGCTATCATCATTTTTTGTTAGAGCCCTCGTCTTGTTATTGACGCTGCTCTTAGATCTCGATCTTACCCTAACTCAGTTTACTAGTCTGATTCTTGGGTTATCAAACTAAATTATCATGTCACGCGACGACTCTCATTCAAACCCTATCAACATATCGAACAATATCGGATCTACCACGAGAATCCCGATTTTATACAATCATGATTATGAAGTCTGGACGCATCACTTTGAGGACTATGTTCTTGGTTCAGAGGAAAATGGTAATCTAATCTGGGAGGCGATTACCGTGGGTCCGTTTGTTCATTCTGGAATGAATAAAACTATCAAGACGCAAAAGGAATACAATCAGCTTATTATTGACGTATCGAAAGTTCCTCAAGACGAGAAGAGCAAACTGATGAGCAACATCAAAGCTATGAGGATGATTAGATTTTCTTTACAATCTGATACCTTTCGTCTAGTTAGCTCATGCACAATAGCAAAACAAATCTACGATAGGCTTAAGGAGCTATATTCTACATGAGGATCTAGAGCATTCAATACAAACTCTTTTGCTCTTTGAGTTCGGTGACTTCAAGAAAAAGCCAGAAGAAAAACTCATTCAAGCGTTTGATCATTTCATTCATCTTCTCAGCAACATGATCAAACATGGAATTGGAAGAGAGGTAATCGAGCAGAAGGTTACTTTTATGAATGGCCTGAGACCCGAATGTATGGCAGTGGTTTCGACTGTAAAAGCTCATGAACAGTTCAAAACCTATTCATTGGTGAAGCTTGTGGGAATACTCAAGTCACATGAAAGCGTTGTGACTAAGGAAACGAATGTGGTGTCTAGTATAGGATTTGTGACCCTTCTCTCAAAGGGAAAGAGTGTGGATAAAGAAGGAGAAGAGTTGGATCATTCTGAATGTGACTTGACAAATGAATAATATGCATTAATGGTCTCTATTCCAAGAAGTTTGCTTGCAAAAAGTTCCCTACCTCCATGAATTGAAAATGTCAAGGGAGGTACAGTTCTGAAAAGGCAAAAGAGGAGGTTAAAAATGCTCCTCAATAAGAAGTAGTAAAGAAGGAAATCAAGCTAGTGGGTGGCTCTGGATATGATTGTCACATTTGTCGGGGCAAAAATCATTTTGCTAAAGATTACATTTTGAGGAAGCAGTCCGAAAAGAATGAGGGTGAAGATGATGAAGCTTACTATTTGCGTAAGCTGGAATAGATCAAGAAGAAAAAGATTGCTAACAATACAATGAATGCTTTAATTGTGCAGGAAAACATAGTTAATGATGAGTTTGGAGGCGCAGAAGTCTGGTCTACAGACTCCGAAGATGAAGAAGTTCGCAAGCCCACACATGGCAGGGCTTTTGTGGCGAAGGAAGATAACTCTGAGTTTGCTGGAAGATGTTTGATGGTGACTGTTGAAGTGCACAGATGAGAGACTACACAACCGATGGAGGATGTGATGAGGCGAAGGAAAGAGAAGACAGGTGCTTCGCTGCCAAACCGATGGGTGAGCAGATCAACAGATGCGATCAGTTGATCAAGAAGGTGCAATCCATTCTCGAATCACTAAAAATACCTATCACGGACTATGAAAAGGAATTAAACGAATTAAAATTCAAGTTTTCTAGTTTAAGTGGTAGTCTAAAATAAAATCGCCTAGCAAATTCTAAACTAACTGATCAACTCAACAGGGTGTCTTCTAAGAGTGAGGAAAGAAGGATGTGGATAGAGAAGAAGGAAGTGGAGTTAGTTAGGGAGAACGATGAAGTAATTTATTTGCAATGTGATAATTTGAAGCTTTTGAAACAAAGAAACATTTTTGCTTGATTGCTAAACGTTTATATACTAATATCAGTCAATTGCATTTAGATTGTGAGATCGGTAAAAAGATTCATAAAATGATTTTGGCCTTCTTGGAATTAAAGGAGGACAAAGTTGATGTTGATGGTTATAACTATGAATCTATTGTTTCTTTAGATGAAACTTCTGATGCCTATAGGATCGGTCTGGACAAAATCGAGTCCTTTATTAAGTCCAAAGACCATCTGTAATCAAACTTTTTAGACTAAGGAAATTATTGGTCTTTATGATAAGGCCCATATAGGGGTTTGTCCTAATTTGGAAAATTGGTCCATAAATGGGCCTTTGTGGATCCATTAGTTTGGGCCTTTTGGTTCACTAAAGCTTATAACAAGAACATTAAAGTCATAAGGTTCCAGATAGGTGACTTGGTACTTAGGAAAAATTTCCAAAATACCAAGGATCCTACTGTGGGCAACTTGGCACCTAAATGGGAAGGTTCATATCTCATTGATTCAAAAGCATGAAAGGAAGCATATTGGTTAGCGACCCTTGAAGGGAACATCTTGCCAAGATCTTAGAACGTCATCCATCTAAAAACATACTTCATTTAATTTGTATTGATCATTTTCAAACAAACTAAAGGTACAATCTCTCTACCTTCTACTTTTATCTAATTCTTTTAGTTTTTTGAAAACCATAACTAAATTAAGCATAGGAGGGGTATTAGCCAAGCTAACGCCCAACCCAAGCTAACGGTTGCTATTTGTAGGAACATAAGGATCCTAACACTCAAGGATCATGACACACAATGACCCTAATATTCAATGATCCCGATATAATAAGAGCCTAACTTTCGAGGATCCTAGCACTCATGGATCCTAATAAATACATAACTAAGTGATCTTGACTATTGCATGTATCTAAGTACCTATAAATAGAGACTTATCATCTCTCCTATGATTAAGGGTACTTAGTCCCCTCTAGGCCTGACAATCGTGTCGTGTTCGAGTTGGCGTGTCGCGGTTTGGCGGGTCAAAATATGTCAACCCAAACACGGCCCATTTAAATATACAGGTCATGGGTTGGCGGGTTTGGAACATAAACCCATATATGACCTGCCAACACATTTATTTATACGGGTTCACAGGTTGGCGGGTTCGTGGGTCCAAATTTTAGACATTTAAGTCTTAAACATCCAAATGAAAATTAAAAACATTTATAGAAACATGTTACAGACTTAGCATTAGAGGTTACGAATTACAACCTTAGACTATCCACCACGAGTCAAAATGTCAAAATAGTTAAATGGTCTATGAATCAATGGTATATAATATATAATACTTATTAAATATTAATACTTGATATAAAAATATATTTAAAAATAAAATAATTTTTTTATTGAGTATATAAACAGGTTGGCGGGTCAACCTGTTTATTTTTTGAGAAACCCATATATGACCCGTTTAATAAACGGGTTGGCGGGTCGGCGGGTTGAAAAACTCAACCCAAACGTATTTATTTCGTGTCGTGTCACGGGTCGTGTCGAGAATTGCCAGCCCTAATCCCCTCTAAGGCTTACAGAGCTAGTTACCTCCTTAATACGAGTTAGGGTATATACACCTCTCTTGGACACATGAAGTCTTACTATGGTGGATAAGGGGGTCATTTCACGCTTCAGTGACTTGGAGGGGCTAGGGGAGGCCATGGGCACCCAGGTTTTTGGCATAACAGTTAATATCATAAGGAATATAAACTAAATTTTTAGAATTTCAAAGCCAAATCATAAATTGAAAACAAATCCGAACTACAAAAACAAAGTTTTAGCAAATCATAACAACAACTGACGTATTATCGTAATTTCTGTAACTTCAAATTCTTATAAAAAAAAAAACAAAAATCCTAACTAATTTTGAACTTTACAAAAATTTCTATATAATCCAGAAAATTAAAAACCAAATGTCAAATATATTTAAACTTAGAAAACCTAACAGATGGACTCCGTCTCTAGTCACCGCCTAGGGTCCGTGTTGTCACTCGTTCGACGGCGACAATATGGTCTGACGGACATTGTCCCTCCCATCGCCAGTTGAAGTCGAAGTCATTGAGGTCTTGCCAGTCGGCTTTGTGGATCAATGTATGTCCTTCTATTGACTAATTCTTGCATATTCACTACTCTCGCCATATCTCTATTTCTATCTTTTACGGTATATTTTTTATATGAAATTGATATTTCTTGCTTCTATTTTAAAGCTATTATTTTTCTTTTTCTGTGTGCTGTCATAAAGGAAAAAAAAAACTTTGGGAACATAAGAAAGCCATGATTATTTGCCTAGTACCTTCCCCAAATATATACATATTCAATTAATATATTTATTTACTTACTTATTAGGTGTTATAAACTTTTGATTTTATTGGATTGTCTTCTAGATTATGAATTTGTTTGGAAATAAATAAACTATGAGAGTTATTAAGTTTGTGTATGTTGAGGTTGTAATCGTTTTGATATGTGATTTAATAAATAAGTAGGTGTGAGACCCATATATTACTTGAGTTTATTTAAAAAAAAAAAAACTAAATACAAAATTTTAAACATTTGAGAAGTATGAATTTATAAACAAAAGTGAAAAAATATTGAATTATAAAAATTAAAGTGTTGTTTTATCTTTTAAATCTAAACAAATAATTTAGATAAATAAATAAAGAAAATTAATGAATCTTTAATTTAGTAATTTTGAAATTAGAAGGAAAGTTCATTAATGAAATTGATATGGATTTAAATAGTATCTACAATTTAATAAAATGAAAAAAAAAACCATAAAATAACATGTGGAATAAACATTAATTTAAAATAACCACAAAATTACATTTGGCAAAATAAATAAGAATGTGACATGTGACAAAAAGATTTTTATTTATTAGGGAGGATTCATGCTTTTTAATTTTGATGTACTCATCTTTTCGATTATTAAATTCTTTGGAGATAAACAAAAACATAAGCAAATTAATAGGTTTTGCTAGAATAAAAAATTATAATATAAAGACTTTCAAAAAAACAATTATAAAATTTTTTTTTTTCTCATATTCATAAAAAAACTACATTTTCATTATCTTATCATTAATAAATTTTATTTAAATTATAATTTATCATACAAATTAATTTATTTTCTAGATACGTGATATATTGCTAATTAAGTGTGAGACCCGTATATTATACGAGTTAATTTTTAAAAAATAAATATTAAAATGTAAGCAGTAAATATTTTTGTATGTAAAACTTTAAAATAAGAAAGAAATAAACATATTCATTGCAATTTAATTTTATATATATTATATTTAATATTTTACATATATAAATATATGATTTTAATTTTAAAAAAATTGAAACAAACCAAAAATTGACAAGTGGATAATATTTAATTTAAAAATACCATAAAATGATAAGTATCAAAACTCATAAAAGATTGACAAGTAGTAAAAAAAAACCTTCATTTATTAGAGAATATATACTTCGGCCCCTCCTATTCTAATGCTCATGTTCCGCCCCTGTTGAGATATGCTTAAGGATATTGAGGCTTCAAAAATATTAAGGATCCTGATCTTGGAATCCTGCTCCTAACAACAATTAATTAATTCTTATTGATTTTCATTAATTTATCAATTAACAAATCAATTATTTAACTATTGATCTCATATAAATTTATAAATTATATAACAAATTAAAAGATCGATCATTTATTTCCAATTAATATATTCATATAATACCTAGTATATTAACAAATCATTTTTCTGCTTCTCCTAATACCATTTCTAGCTATTTCTCGTTATGATGTAACCTAAAAAAGAATTTGATTCTATTTGCATTTTTATACCGATTTACTTATAATCTTAGACACCTTAATCTAACGTAAAAGAGTTCACAAAAATGGATTATTTGTATAATGTTCACAAGGCTAAATATGAGAGACTCGCTCCAGCGTGAGAACTTAAAAACCATAAAAATGAATTAACTTTTTATGTTGTGATATGATACATTTACGCACATATGACTAACAAATGTACGTCATTGTTTCACATCCACAATAAGATTGGTTTCTTTTCTTTTTTATTCTTCTTTGTTTTCTTGATTGAACTTCTATGATTAATATATGTCGTGAGTTATTTGGTTTGCACTTAGTCATCTCTCTTTTTATATATATATATATATATATATATATATATATATATATATATATATATATATATATATATATATATATATATATATATATATATATATATATATATATATATATGAGAGTCGCTTCTTCACCCTGTCGAACACATCTCATGTGGTCACATGAGCTGGTCAGAGCAAACCCCAACGGTACGTCGCCCCAGCCCATTATTACTTCTTGTAACCTAAGTATCAATTTTGTTATAGCTACAAGTTATAGAGTTTGAATATTATGTACCATATAATAACAAAAGAAAAACTTCTAAATTAAAACGAGTAAGATGGGTTTATAGTTTGTTCATCTAACCAAGTTATATATTTTTATCAAATATATAATGAAATAGATACTTTTTATCAATAATATTTAATTTTATTTTAAATTAGTACAAATTACCAATTTGCATACCGGTAAAGAAAGATTGACAACAATTTGAAATATATGTTTATCAACTACTAAAAAGTCCAATTTATTACGTGAATTAGTAAAAGTATATAGATTCCAACTCAACAAGTAATCTTATTTTATAGGATTAAATTATTTAAAAAGTATTTTAGAATATGGAACATTTTAGAAAGAGAAAAACAACATAGATTCAATTTGTATTTTAACAAAAAAAATCTAATTACTTTTAAACAACTCTTTAATTCTATTTATGTATACTCGAACCATCGACGTGAAATAGAAAAAGTGAACTCGTAACGACTCTGGGATAGAAACCTTTGGTGAAAAAACAAAAAAAAAATTAAATAGGATGGGTTAATAGCTAGTCCACTGTAATTAATTTGATTCCTTAGCCTACAAATGAGGTGTCCCTTGAAATGTGTTCAAATCTCCCAATCTTTATTCAAACAAAAAAGAAATATCCATAGATTAATCTTAATAAAGATTTTGACAAGTCCCTGTGGAACTATCTAAGCATTCAATCCAACTCCTTTAAAAGCCATTTTCCTTTCCCAATTTTCATTCAGCTTTTAGCGTTCTTATCAATTCTCACGCTTTTCTCATCTATTCCTCACACATATTAGTACACCTTAAACACAGACAAACTAACACATGGGTACTTTGGTGGGACATGTGGCACCAGGATTTGTTCTTCTTGTTATCGGTTTTTGGCACCTTCTCAACCACATCAAACTTCATGTTCAAAACCATAAAACCTATCATTTTCTGCCATGGTTTCCCTCCATCAAGATAAGGTATTTGGAGCTTTACTTGATCATGATAGCTTGTTCCATGTCAATAGCTATGGAGCTATTTATTGGACCAGATCGCCACCAGCCGTTTGACACAGACGGCACCATTCCTTCCAACCATCTACACAACTTTGAACACTCATTTATTTCCCTGACCTTTTTCGTCTATGCTGCCTTTGCGATACTACTAGACAAGTTTGTACCCAATGCCCAATACGAGTTGACTCATTTGCTTAAAGGTATTGCCTTTGGGCAACAACTCCTCCTCTTCCACCTCCACTCAGCAGACCACATGGGTATTGAAGGACAATATCATAAGCTTCTACAAATACTAATTCTTATCTCTTTTATCACTACCCTTATGGGCATTGGCTACTAGAAAAGCTTCATAAGGTCCGTTAGCATACTCTTTCAAGGTCTTTGGCTCATTCTTATGGGTTTCATGCTTTGGACTAGAAGCTTGATTCCTAAAGGTTGTTTCTTAAACCTGGAAGTGGGTCACCATGTGGTCCGGTGCCATGGAGAAGAAGCCTTAGAACGGGCCAAGTCATTGGTGAATTTTCAGTTTATTTGGTATCTAATATGGCTGACAATCTTTGCTGTATCGCTTTACTTGGCTATGCATAAAATCTATGCGGGAAAAGTGTAACAATGTACGATTTTGTAAAAGTAAATGGAAATATGGAGGCTCAAAAGAAACCTGGTGAATCACAGAGCTTTCTTGTAATGAAGAAATCTTTTTCTCCATTTGACATGGAAGAGTAGATATGGAAGGCTTATATGAATAAAAAAGAAGCTCTGAATTGGTCAGTTTTACAGCATCTCCATAGAAAAATTGGACCTATATATACACTATTACCACCATAGTGAAAATATTAATACTTGTCCTACATAGCATACAAAAGTTTCTTACCGGTATATCAAATACTAGTTTATAACCCGTGAAACTACGGTTAGAAAATCAATTAAATTTTCTAAATAAAAAATTCAAAACTATTAATTAATAATTTTAAATAACTTATTAATTAAGAGATATTATGTTAGTTATATATAAAATTATAATCGTTGATTCAAATAAATACATAAAATATATTATCTTATAATTTGTATAAATTTTATTTTTTATAATTTGATTTATTTTATTCTATTTTTATTCTAATGTTATTAATTTAATATAATTAAAATGAGATATAAATTTTGAAATTTGAAATTTAAAATGGGGAATCAATAGATTGACAAGTGTTATGATATTAATTACAATGCTTAACATAGTAACACTTGGCAAAATAACTACTCTTTTATTAGTATAAAGAGATATACTTTCTACCTCCTTTTTGTTAATTTTTTATAAGTACATTCTAAAAATCAAATATTATTTTCAATAAATTACACCATGAAATAGAGCTAATTAAAATCTTTAAAATGTGAGCAATTAGTTTGAATCCACTCGGTGAAATGAGACTTAGAAATTAATAAGAGACCTTAAATCACAATAGGTGGACTAGTGGATCTTGTACCCCACTAACCCAGTAACCCATCAGTATTAGTATTGAGAAAATTGCAAATTTAACCAAAAACATTAATTATTTTTCGGAATATAGGCAAAAAAAAATTATATTTTTAGTCACTGAAATTACAGATTGATTAAACTCATCTGTGATTTCGTCAAGTCATCTGCGAACGTACAAGTGGTTAAAGCACAGATGTTCTTTAGACACTTGTACATTCGCAAGTGGTTTTTTTCATATTATATATATATATATATATATATATATATATATATATATATATATATATATATATGCTTTTCTAAGATAAAATCGTAGATGGACTATCTCCATTTGCAACTTCCTTTCATTTTCACCTGTGATTTTGTGATTTTTTTTGTTTTTTTTTTTTTTTAATTTTGATTACGAAATTGATAGGGTTTGACTACGAAACAATTTTATTATATATAAACTTTTTCAAAAATTTTTATTTAAAACCTCTCTAAAAAAAATGAATGAATATTTGTTTTGCATTGTAACTGGTAGGGGGGAAAGTTTTTCACAACAAGAATTGGGAGTATTAGGGAGGTCACTTTTTGCGACGACATGACCAATAGCGGCGACACGAGACTATAAGTGCTTCGTGTCGCTGCTAAAACAATAGAGTCATCGCTAAAGATATGTGTCGGAGATCCGTCGGAGACACGCCCCTTTCAATCCTGACCCTTGGTTCGGCACATAATCCAACAGGTAGGGCTTGTTCCTGTGGTTCGAAAAGACTCCGGACAGTGGCCGAAATATCAATAGAAACAACATCAATAACGGCGACACAGGAGTATTAGAGACGACGGTATATACGACGACAAACGAGTATTAGTTACAAGGTAATAGCGACGACTCTTTATAGACGACTTGCCATCGCTAAAGGTATTAGCGGCGACATAGGGCATCAATTGCGATGATTTTTTCCGCCGCTAAAGGTTACATTTTTTGTTATGTCAGGGAGGTATTTATGAATTCACTTTGACATTATCTGAATATATTAGTTATAGTGAGTTTATATCTTTAGTGTGAAAAAAAACCGGTTTGTTAGACAAATATAAAATTAGTTTTCGTTTCTATCATCCTAAATTTAATCATTATGTAGCCATGATTGAAGACATGGATATAGAATGTTGATTAAAGTAATCAGATCGAGTGGAGGAAGGGTTGTAAAAGTGTTTGTGGTGGCTGATGAAGGTGATGCAGTTATAGACGGTAGTGAGAGTGGAAATGAGTTGGTTGGTAATTTAAGCAGCAATAAAGGGAGCAACAATCCAATAGAAACTTTCATGACTCCAAGTGTACCTTAATTTCATAGTGTTGGTGAAAATGTTAATGTGAGGTATTCACCTTTTCAATATGTAGACCTTGAGAATTACAAGTATGTTGGTGATGATGATGTTGGTACATATCTTAATGACGTGGGTGGTCGTTGTATCGATGGTTCCGAACAAGAAGTTAAAGTTATGAATAGGCGTGTAGTAGATAAAAGTAAAAAGAAAAAAGTTATGATTCAGAAACATGAAAATGTACATGGTTACGTGGATTATGTTGATGTTGCTGATGTAGCTTTAGATATAACCGACTTAGAAAGCATTTCTGATGGAGATGAGTTAGGTGATGAAGTTAAAGTTATGTTTTCCGATAACCTTTTTCACGATATGCCCCCTATAGCAGCATGTCCAGTTGATGTTAATGAAGATATCCCAACACCATTGGTAGATATCGATGTTCAAAAGATTGAATGTATCAGTATATTTTACAACAAAGACCTTCTAAAATGGGCGATTAGGAAAAAAAAGTCTTTGAGAAGGTTTTCAGACGAGTACAAGTAGATCGACCAAATCAAGGTATGAGGTTGTGTGTTTTGGGAAAAATTGTTCCTGGTTACTAAGAGCAATGAAATTAAAAATTTTGGCGGACTTTTCTAAGTGAAAAAATTTGTTGACGTACACACATGTTATTCAACAATTTTGCAACCTAATCATCGACAAGCAAACAAGTATGTTTTGGGTGAATATCTTGTTGATGTTTTGTCTGAATATTATAGTAGAGTATACTGGGGACAAGATATTATTAATGATATGAATGCTCAACTGAAAATCAATGTCTCAAACCATTGGGATCGGCGTGCGAAACAATATGCATTATTGTTATTAAGTGGTAGGAAAGAGGATTCTTTTACCAAACTGCTTCTAGCATATTTACACAATTTGGTCAAATATAATTTAGGTATCGTGACACATATTCAAACAGATGATGATGATCGGTTTGAGTTCTTGTATCTCACACTTGGTTGCTCGGTTAGTATTATTATATTTCATTATTTTTTTGGTGTAGTTGAATAGATATACAATGTATTTTAGGTACACACTTTTATCAATTTTTGTAAGCCGGCCCTTGTAGTAGATGGAGCCCACCTAAAGAGTGAGTTTAAAGGTACCCTGTTACTTGCAGTTACTAAGGATGGACAAAACCAAATATTCTTGTTTGCATATGGCATATGAAAAAATGAGTGTACAGCTTCTTGGACATGGTTTTTTCAAAAAATATGTGATTTCGTAGGCAATAGGGAGGAGCTTACAATTATATCTGATAGGCCTCCATCTATAGCGACATTTGTTGCCAACATTTTTCTTCATGCTCATCACAAAATATGTGGTGTCTATTTGTATTTCAACATAGTATCTAGATACAAGAAGAGTAAGACATTTATAGGAATTTTTTGGGGGATTGTAGAGCGTATACAGTTGATGGTTTTGATGTTGCCATGGACCTTTTGAAAAAAACAAAAGAACCAGTATGGGAATACTTAAAAAGTATAAATCCTGAAACTTGATCTAGGACACATTTTAGAGGGAACATATACAATCTTATGTCTTCCAACAGTGCAGAGTCTATAAATGCATTATCTCGACACATACGTAAGGGGCCGATATTGATGTTGATCGATTTTTTTCATGGAATAATGCAAGAGTGGTGGTTTCAAAGACATAACTTTGCAGGTACTAACTTTTAATATTAATGTTTTTATTAAATGTTATTGATCTTAACTGTGTAATTTTTTCTATTTTTTAAATAGAAGCAACAACAACACTCACCCCTTGGGTCGATGATATTGTAAAAGAAAATAAAAATTCTTTTAGTAATTGGGATGTTCACATGATCTTAAGTAACAAATACGAGGTCAAAAAGGGGGCACACAACGTGATTATTGATTTCCAACAAAAGACATGTACATGTAGGCATTGGCAACTTGACGACATACCTTGTTGTCATGTCCTAAGAGCGTTAATAGTCAACAATTACCAAAACTAGTCGATGTTTGCATTAAATGCTTACCATAATGAAACATTGAGGAACACATATGAGGAATCAGTAAACCCATTTCCAAAACCATTCGAATGGGAGATTCCCAATGATTTAATGATTGTTAAGCCACCTATAATGGACAAACTCCAGCCAGGCAGGCCAAGAATCACATACCAGATTCCATCCCAAGGCGAGGGTCCAATTAGAAAAGTGTTTTCTATATATGGTCAAGCAGAACACACGAGAAAAAATTATTCTGGAAGGGCATCCAGTAGTGTAGCACGTCGCACGAGAATTCCTACTACGGAAACGACATTTAATATCGAGACTTCTATGAGTTGCTCACAATCATATCACACCAATTTTGATATAAAATCACCTTAAATTGAATAGGTATTAATTTATTATGTATTGTAATGTTTTTATTAAATTTTCTAAGTTGTTGCTATGCTTTTATATTTTAATTTAGTTTGAATATCATAACAACGAATGAAGGTTCTATATTGTAACATGTTGTTTTATGCTTTTATACTTGGAA